TTTATTTTTTTTTTAATTTTTAAGACTAATAATTATAAATTATTTAATACTTTAACAGCCCGTTTGGTGGTCGGAGGAGGGTCTGGAAGTACTCTGCCTCCGATGATTCAGATGGTCGCGATGAGGCGTCGACTCCAGCTCTGCCCTCCGATCGTTGATCCACCGGCGAGAGGCCGCGATTGTGATTGGAGGACCATCAACGCCTAAGGGGCGGTACACGGCGGAATAATATGAGTTTGGGGATGTTTCTGGCGGTGCCGAAGGGGCGGCACACGGCAGAGACGTAGCCGGGTTCGGAGGAGTTCCTGGAGGTGTGGGGCGCGTCGATGCCGGAGGTTTTCAGGCTGTTTGGGCTGCATTTTCTGCTGCTGGAGATGTTTCTAGGCCGGTGGTCTCATTTTCTGCTGCTGGAGATGTTTCTAGGCCTGTGGTCTCATTGGCACTGCCTGAGCTGTTGCGGATTCAACAACTTCGATCCGGAGAGACGTATCTTGAACCATGGAGTCATGTATTTCGAGTGGTTCAGTTGCTGCCCAAGGTTGTAGCAGTTCAACAATGGCAGAGACTAATCAGAGAAAGAATCCTATCCAAAGAGATGCAAAATAGAGAGGAAGGGAGGAAGGGTAAAATAGGAAATAAAATATAACATATATTCCTGAGGACTCAGGAATAGGTTAATACCAGGGGCCCCCCTAGTAATAGCTATTCCCCTTACAAGGGGAATAGGTCCTTTGTTCCTGGGAATAAAATTGTTTACCAAACAAAGTAATAGGCCTATTACTGGGAATGTTATGTCATTCCAGGCCTATTCCGTGAACCAATCGTGCCATAATAGTTAACACTAAAATATTAAATATTAATCTAAAAAACATCTAGACATTGAACAATTTAGTATTATTTCGCTCAAAACAATGTCATTTTGAGTGAAATAATCCAGAAAAATAAAAAAGAACAATAGCTAATCGACCGACTAGGCGGCCTAGTCGGTGCCGAGGAGGCCTAGGCGGTGCCAATGATGCCTAGGCAGTAGCATCTAAGCTGCCTAGTCGGCAGGCAACTGATTATGGTAATAGGCTAGGCTATCGGCCAGCTCTTAGTGCTTAGGCGGAATTTTTACAACACTGCATACACTTGTACTTGAAGTTGAGAAGAGAGAAGCTAGAATTTTACAACCGTTTAATGTTCCATTGAAGAAGCTTCATGAATCCCTTGTTTTCATTTATAAAATTATGAGACCTTACATTGGCACACGACCGACAATAACTTTCAAAATATATATTATGGTGTTAATCGATATTGGGGAATTAGGTTGGGTTATACAGTATTATATAAAATTATATAATTATATTCAAAACACTATGGTGTTAATATCATTCTTTTCATTTATTCCTTTATCCATATGATATTAAAAATCAAATCCATAACTTTTTATTTAGAATCACATGGTGATCTCATAAGGCTACAATATACATCCTTCTCCTCTTTCTCCACGACGGGGCTCAGTACTGCAACAACATTGTTTTAATTCGGAGCATCTACCGCTACAAAGCCCATCCGCCCTACACATGCTATTGCAATGCTTGTCAGACAGGCACCATCTTTTCTTGCCAATGCACCTAACCTGCTTGGCTTCTGCACTAATTGTTGGACCAATTTCTGTAGAACAAAGGAGCATGAGAAACAAGATTATGGCAATCGACTTAAATATATCTGCCATTATATTGCTCTCAATTTTAATATTTTACTTTATATTTTTGTTGAGATAGGTGTAAATGAATATAACGTATAACCTCTATATATGAAGTTTATTAGATTACAAGAATTGAAGCCAAATAGATTAAAATTGAGCTTGAAGTTTGTAAATATTGTTGTTGGAGGGGTTATGCTATTGTGTTTTTAATCTTTAGTCCTTATAGAATCTCATCTTTATATTTAAACATTAACTTTTGGGGTATTATCGTAAACACTAAATTTCTTATTTAATTTCCTTCGCACTCACAGGATGACAAATGCAAAATGTAAAATGTTTATTATATTTAAAGAATAAAAACGTAATAATATAATGTGACACCTATAAAAATACCATTTGTAAAACTAAATTATATAATTAAAGATAAAAAGAGTTAATTTTACCACTCATTTCTAATTTTAGTCATTAACTTTTAAAGTTATCAAATTTAGTTGTTAAGTATTTTTATCATTTTCTGAATGTAATCCATTATAAGACTTTTCATGTATGAACAGTTAATATTGAAGGTGAAATTAGGACTGCTAGACTAAGTAAATTAAAGCATTGTTTTTAAAAACAATTGGCGCAATGATTTGACTTTTAATTTTACTCTCAATTTTATAACGATTCACATTAGAAAAACTAATATTGGATTACAATTGAAAATAATTCAATACTTAAGGCCGGGTTAAATTTGGTGGCCTTAAAAATTAATGACTAAAATTAAAAATGGGTGATAGTCAAATGTCTAAATTTGAAATTAACTTAATAAAATTACTAGTGGTACACAGTTAGAGTATGAAAATTATTATCCGGGGACCACAAACATGGTAATCTTGATTTGATGAGTTTTATGCATGTCCCAAATTTAAGGAATCCATGGATGAATTAATCGACTTAACTAACGAGAAAAGAAATTTATAAAGTCAAAGTGGTTGAGTGCGAATTTGTTTTATGAAAATAATAATTTCCTCAAATATTACGCTACAGTGGTGAGTAAATCAGAATAATTTCGTAATTGGTGTGAAAGGTCTCACGAATTCTTATATTCCATCATTAGTAATTTTATTTAAATTTTTTATTTTGTTATGTAACTAACTTGTTTTAAAGACCTGTTGGTCCCACTAGGGTTAGAGAGAGTCTAGAAGGGGGGTGAATAGACTCTAATCGATTCTTTTCGAATGATCTCCTTTCGGAGATATATGCAGCGGAGATAGTATTCTTGTTTTAATTATTCTTTGCACTTTTTAATTTCGTGTTAGTAAAATTTAGCGTTTGGTCGATATGATATGATATGCAAAGCACGAAAGAAAAGGTGATAAAGTAAAGAGAGATTTTTATAGTGGTAGGTTCGGCCAACTATGCCTACTCCACTCTTCTTTCACAACTTGTGAAAGGGTTTGCACTATCACTCCTAGTACAAACTACTTCAAGCTGGCTTCCTTGATCACTAAGCCGGACAGCCACTTGACAGGTTTTTCAACTCCTCGAGTTTACTCCGCCTCTATCAACTTCTTCCTAAGCTGAGATGTTGGAAAGATATTCTGGTGTTTCTCCAACAGGTTGAAGCTTGTCTTGACGTCTGGATTGATCTTCACTTGAGAAAATTACAAGATTGCTTCAAGTTGTGAAGTATGAAGATGAATATGCCTTTGAAAAACTTCACAACTAACACTGGTTATGGAAAGCTTTTGGAGATGAGACTATTATAAGAGCTTTTCTTAAGATTGCAAGAGTGAGTTAACCAGCACCTTCTTCAATGGTGAAGAGAGGTATTTATATGTGGAAAAATCCATCCATTGGAGGGAGATAAAAATTTCAAACCTAATAACCAGTGTGTATTACTCAGTGGGCATTGTGCATTAAATGCACTTGTACTGTATAGCCGTTGGAGCCAAAAGCATTGTGGCTTTTGTCCTTGATCTCTGACAAGATGGTACAAGTCTTTTAATGCTCCTTGTCTTTAGTGAAAATCATTCCTAGGACACTTTTTGTCCGAATGATTTGCCCATCGGAGTGATAGATAACATTCTCATTGTTTCTCTTAATGAGTGTTGTCTTTCTACAAGTCTGTCCTTGACTTTTTCACTTAGGAATGAGGAACGAAAGATTGTCCTCATCTTTCGTCATTCCTTCTTAGACGAAGGTTCCTTCTGTAAAAGCAGTCTATCCGAGACTTGCTTTGATCCTTCTTTCGTCTAGAGGCATCTTTCGATCATCTTCGAATATTCATTAAGACCTATTGTACTAGTCTCGTGCATGGTTTAACATCTCATACCTATGTCATACGAGACTTTTTCTAATAAACGAAAAATAGCGGTCTACAATCTAAGACAGTTTGGTATCATCAAAATCTAAATACACTTGTTCCTAACAAGACCTAATTTATTTTAATTTTTAATTATTATTTTATTTATTGTTGAATAATTGTATTGAAATTTGTTACGTAATACAGCTTTTAAATTATAAATTATTACTTTATTTATTTGTACTTGGGTTTTAATAATCTATTTTTTTTTTTGGTATAATATTTTTTTAAAATGATTCAGTGTCTTTAAATTTGTAATTTGTTTGCAAAGGATGCAAACTTGATAGAAACCATGTAATTTAAAAGAAAAATTCGAGCTCATGTAGGAAGTGCAAAACTTATTGGGATGAGATGAGGAGAGCCTTATCTCTAAAATTTAAGTGACATGGATTTATAACTTAAAAGTGTTCTTTTAAACATGATGTGGCTTGCAATCCAAGCAAAATTAGCAAAGGTTGCAAGTGTTGGAAAATGGAGAAAAAAGTACAATGTCATGAGTTGAGAGTACGCTTTTATTACTTTTTTAACCATTTTTAATATTTTAAATAGTAATAAATTTGATTAAAAATAATACGGAGTAATATTTTAATTGAATGTGAAGTATGATCCACTTTAAAAGTGAATTGAAATTACATAGAAGTAGAGAAAATAGTAAAGGAAATGTAAATTGAATGATTAGAAAGTAGGACAAATTTTTAAAAGTGGGAAAGTATTGCAAGGATACACTTATTATACCATGGATCATGGTTCATTTTGCAATGAGGATCCGAGTCCAACATATACAATTTAAATAATGAATGTTCACAATTTACATACTGAATGTTCACAATTATGTACACAATTTACATACTTAATGTTCACTATTTACATACTAAATATTTACAATTTATCTTTTACAAAATTATAAATATTCAGTAGATAAATTGTGAACATTCAATATATAAATGATGTATTTTGTACCTAGCACTATCTTGCAAGGTAGATCCGAGTAGACAAAATAATTTGCAGCAGGGATAAGGAAGGGTAGCCTTAAATTGCTAAACTTGCTTAGCTACCTCAGAGACAGATGGATCAATGATGATGTCGTTTTCTCTGTAAGAAATAGCTGAGGATACTGAAGGTGGCTGATAAGATTGATACGAGAAGTGAGAAGAAGGATAGCAAGAGAGCGCGGGTTACTAATTTAGAGTACCATGGTTTGAGATGATACTGAATGATGTCTAGTTTCACCTTTCGAAGATGGGTGCTGGTGAGTGGGAGGAGGAGCGTGTCCGTGGAAGCACCACCGCCGGCGCCGGCGCCGGTACATGCCACACTTTTCAGATACACGGCTACCTCGTCTATCAGGACTTTACCACCCTCCACTTTAATCACTCCCTTCTGCTCTAACAGCGCAGCGTCTTGGTCGGTGCGGACAATATCGCACAGAAACCTCAGATATTCACTTACCCCCCTTTCCCTTAGGCCCTGATCATTCTCGTAAGCTTTCAGAGATGTGTACATCTCCTTCATCATCTCATTGAAAGTGAAGACTGGCAAATGAAGGACCTTCCCCATGAACACGCCATCCTTGATCTGAATCTCCCTAATTGCCATGCCGCTTACCGGCTTAAAGTCGATACCTTTAGAATACATTGTTGTGGCACTCGGGATCCTTTGACCTTCACCATCTTTGGGGTCCAAATAGTTTGTGTTAACCCCGATTTCTAAATCAACGTTGCCATTTTGGTGACGAGTCTCTTCATCAACAATCTCGCCTCTAGCCGTCCCAACCCATCGACAGTGGAGCCCATGAAGTACGTCTGTATACTCTTTACTCGGATCAGAATATGTGCTACTGCTGCTTCGGTTCATTTTGAGCACAGGGTCCAAGATCAAGTCATATAGGACAGTTTTGAGTAGATCTGAAGAAGGGGGATTTTTCCAATCCTCGTTTAGAGCAAGCTTCTTAAAAAAAGAATGGTGGATTAGTTTATTGAGCACAACCAGTGGAATTTGGTTGCCAGGAAACACCATACCCTTAGAGAACTTACTCTTCCGGTTTTCGTAGTCATTTTTATCGCTGCCAAACAGGATCTCATGGAGTCCACCCTCAGTTTCAAGCTTATCTACCCCTAATCCAAGATAAAAGAACATTTGCAGGAGGAATAAGCAACCGTGATTTATCATCATATATTTAAAGAAACTAATTTCTTGCATCCCATCCCTGTTTGGCATGTCTTTATCATCATAAGCACTCATTGCTTCTTCTATAACTTCTCCGATTTTACTGAAGTAGTACTCCTTTATTATGTTCTCTTCTTGCATAACATTTTGATCGCCTTCTGTGGTATTCTGGTTGCTTTGCGCAAGTTCTGTGACATTTCGATCCCCTTCATCTATTTGAGTTGCTTCCCTAATTCCTGGGACATTTCCTTCCCCTCCAGAATTTTGCCCCATGCCAGTTTGACTGCCCAACACTACCTTAAAAGTACTAAGTAGAGAAGAGAATAACTTCTCGTAAAGACTTTTTGCTCGTTCTATAACTTCTCCAGTTTTACTGCTTTGTGCCTGCTCCGTGACATTTTGGTTGCTTTGCTTAGGTTCTGTGACATCTTGATCAGTAATTTCATCGCCTCTGATCTCTGTCATGAGATCCTTATCCAGGCTCGTCCTTTTTATGAGATACTCCCAAGCCACTTCTGCAGCTGGTTTTATCCTTTGACGTTGGCTGGCTCTAAGAACATCTTGCTCGGCTCCTATGTTAGCTTCTCCAGGTACCTCTGGCTCTGGCTTTATTATCTCTTCATACAAGGGACCAAATGCATATATTTCGCCCTTCTGGAAGAGAGAAGCTGTATTTCCATCCTTGCGTTTGATGATTCGGCGTTTGGGAACATGGGACTGTGACATGGATGAGAACTTGTATTTGATTAATTGTAAAACTATTTAAATAAATATGTACAAGAAAGAGTGACAGTATAACTTGAACTCAATAGACTGGTCGGCCAGCAAGCGCCAAGTCCTCCAAAATTACCTGGGAGCATCCTAAATAATCCGTCACCGACGCATTTCCTTGCCAGAGGGATTGAACCCTTGAAGATGAAGCCAAAGCCTCCTCGACAGCATCCCAAATTTCCTTTGAAGTTTGACGACCAACTGCCAAGTGCATGACCTCCTCAGATAGGGAAGAAATCAACATGGACATTATTGCTTGGTCTTGTTGCACCCACAGAGCATACGCCGGATTTGGTGATGAAGGATCACCAGAGGCGGACAGAACAACCAGCGACGGACAGGGCATTGAGCCATCAACAAATCCCATTAAGTTCTGACCCCGTAGAAACGGTACAATCTGTGTCCTCCATAATAAAAAGTTACGGGAAGTCAACTTGGTGCTGATAAAGTGGTGGGCTGTTGACAAGGAGTTCATAGCAATAGATACCGGAGTGGCAGCAGGTACATCAGAGACAATTTGTTTGGAAGAAATTGCAACAGATCCGTTAGAAACCGCAGAATTGGCAACCATGGCAGGCTCGGAAGAAACTGCAACAGATCCATCAGAACAGCAGAATTGGCAATCATGGCTGAGAAAGTCTAAATTACTGATACCAATGAGAACTTGTATTTGATTAATTGTAAAACTATTCCGGTATACAACAATAAATAAATAAGTATAAAGAGCCACAGTATAACTTGAGCTCAGTAGAGTCCTAATAACATGGACTTAGCGAACTAGTTCAATCAGTCGGCAACCAAATTCAAAAGAATCCATTATTTTATATATATAAAAGGTGATACTCCTATATAAACCTCATTATTTCTACTATCTATCTACTATACTAATAAGAGCCCAAAAGAGTTAGGCCTATAATGGCTAGAAAAAATAGCGGTCAAAATTTTTAATCAAATGAATGGCTCAGATTGATCATATTTTATTTTTTCCTTAAGATTTCCTAATTTATCCTTAATGAATATGATTTTCCGTTAACTTTTCCATTAAATATTATCTTTTTCGTTAATTTCTGTTAGTTTACCGTTAACTTACTCATTGATTTCAATAACAAAGATCTTAGGTTCGAACCCCATCCCAATCAAAGTTGGCATAATTAGTACTCTATTTTACTCTTATTAAATTAAAAAAAATAATAATTTAGTAGCTACAACAAAAAATAATACATATGCATTTCTTTAATTTAAAATTATGTGTCTACAATGCATTTATTCAAAAAAAAATATTCATTATCAATAAATTAAATAAGAGAAATAATTTCATTAGTTTTATTGCCTTTATTTTTCTCCAATATAAAAATTCTTTACATTCAAAATTCAAATTCATCAATTGATTATATTGGCTAAATTGTCCCTATAATGTCTTTATTAAAAAAAAAATATTCACTATCAATAAATTAATTAAGAGAAATAATTTTATTAGTTATATTCAAATTAAAATTCTTTACATTCAAATTCATCAATTGATTATATTCACTACATTGTCTATTATCTTTTTTGTGCACTTTTTTTTAATTAAATATCAAAGCTATAATACAAAATAATGCTATATATTTATTTACCAAATATTTTACTAATACCATGAAAAAATTTAAAAAATTTAAATTAATAAAGCCAATTATATTAACTACTTGAGGGATTTGTTGACAAAGAGAGTATTCAAATCACACAACAAATTGAAGTGAGAAACTACCTCCCAATATCCTTGTTTGACAATTACCAGTTAGCGGTTAGAGTTAGCGGATTTGACCAGCAAATTATATCAACAGGTGGTAAAAAGATATTTAAAAAAATTAGCTGTTTAAATTAACATTTAAAATGACATAAGGGTATACATATAATAATAATAATAATAATAATAATAATAATAATAATAATAATAATAATACTAATAATAATAATAATAATAATAATAATAATAATAATAATAATAATAATAATTGTTTTAATAATAATTTTTTTAAAAAAAATAGATGCGTTTTGAGGAAATCATTCTTAAAAAAGTTAAGTGAAAATATTGTAAATTGCAATGTTTGTATTTTCAGTGGTTTGGAACACATTGGTGCTTCAAACTATTGAATAACCAAAACACTTTCTTTAGCATTTTGATCTTTGGGTTATAATTAAAAATTTTAAACTTTTACTACATCTAAAGTCCTTAAATTATAAATTTCTTTATCCATGATAATTTATTCAACAATAATGGTTGAACTAAATGAACACTGAGCAAAACACTTAAAGGACTGGTACCGTTGATTTATTCATTGATCTTGTATATATGTGCACTCATTAAATATATTAAAAACCTTTGCAACAAAAATACCTGGTTACTATTTAATTTTTTTTTTTTAGTAACAATTATATTGAATCTCCTATATTACATTGTATTCATATACTATGAATTACATATTTAAATAAACAAATTAGACATTAAATTACTTATGTTGAACTTTTCATATATAATCTTGCATTGATATACTTTTAAATATTTATTTAATTATAAATATTGGGTAGAAAAAATAACCGTCAAATTATTAAATCAAATGAATAGTTCAGATTGTTCAAATTTTAATCCTACCGCTGGAATCTCCTCAAAAAATATTAGTATATATTTAATATTTTATGCTTTAATTTTTATTTGCTCTCCCTTATGTCCCGTATTTAGTTTCAACCATACCCATACAATTATTTTATTGACAATTATAATCAATCTTGACTATATTATCTTGCATTTCTAAACTTAGAATTACCAACTTAAATACGCAAATTTAACATTCAATTATCTATGCATGAACAATTCCAATATAATCTTGTCTTGATATACTTTAAAATACTTATTTAAGAAAAACATTGGGCATTATCTCAATCGCGCAATGCGCGTAAAAAACTAGTTTTATATATAAAAGGTGATACTCGTATATGAATCTTTCCCACATGAGTTCCTGAGAACAGATCTAAAAGGGTGTATTTAATCAAGATTTTTATAAACTTTTAAGACTTTTAAGGATTTTAAAAGTTTGATAGTATTTGATCTCAACTTTTAAAGACTCTTTAAAAGTATAACCGTATTTGATTCAAATTCTTAAAAAGTAATTATATTGGTATTCTATGCGGACTTTTATAAAATCTTTGAAAGTCAACTAGTATTCAAAAATTTATTAACTTTTATAGACGGATTAGGATTCATGTAGATTTTCCTTCACAAATATATATACTTGAAATCTGACCCCCTCCAATCCCAAACTTTTCAACATTCTGTACAGACATTTTTTTCATATTTGAACTTGACAAACTTTTCATTTATTCATATCAAATTTTACGGTATTTTTCACAACTTTCATACATATGCATATACTTTTTATTTTATACATATTTATACAAATTTAAAAAGATTTTTTTTTTTTTTTTTTTTTTTTTTTGTGAACATCAACAAAATTTTGTTGCGGTTCACAACAAATTTTTTGAACCGCAACAAAATCTAGTTTTTGTTCGCAACAATAATAAAATTTTAAATACAATTGAGTTTTTAATTTTATATAATTATTTAGTGAAATTGATTGCTATTGCCGTTATGTATAACACACTATATTTTTGTGCCAATTAATTTTAATTTTTATTTTTTACAATACAATAATTTATTTATAATTTATAAAAATTATATATTATAAAATTTTGTAATATGAAAAAGTTGTTAAAAGTTTATAAATGTTTGTTATGCCACTTATGCAGATTTTTATGGAGCCTTACATGATTTATGAAAATTTAAAAAATTCTATGAAAGTTTGAAAATTGTTTATAAAAGTCATTTAAAATCCATCACTTTAAAAGTGTTTGAAAGTATATAAAAATATTGATTGAATACACCCCTTGAGCTATAAAAATAAAAAAATCAATAGCTAGATTAATAATGAACATCCTAACCTGATTTAACCAATACTTTAATCGGAAGCGTTAAAATACTAACCTGATTCCCTGAGAGATTGGTGAAACCTTTAGCTCTTTCTTCTTCCCAACTCCATTTTTCAAGTTCACAGAGTGTTTCTCTTTTCCTTCTGGTCTTTCACGTTTAGTTTTCACAGTGAAAGGATAGAAAATAGTTTATGGCCCTGGTTAACCATAACAACCATTTGAATATTAAATATTGAAATTATGGCAATAATGGACCATATATAAACCAATACCATTAAATAGGCTTAATAGCCTCATTGAAAGCCATAGAGAGGGGAATCATAACCCCTTGATCTGTTACATATTTTATTCCCACCTATCACAATGAGATTTTAATTGTCGGACAGTTATGCTGTGGAACCGTGTTCACCATGTGCATAGTGAACACAGAATATATCCATAATTTCTAAGTTGTGGATCCGTAATTTCTATATTGTAGATTCATAACATATATACTGTAGATTCATAATTTCTATACCGTACTGTAGATCCAATAATTTCTCAGATGTAGATCCATAATTTTTATACTGTAGATTCATAACATCTATATTGTAGATTCATAATTTATATATCGTACTGTAGGTTCATAATTTCTACAGCATAGAAATTATGGATCTACCCATGTGTTCACCATGCACTTGGTGAACACGTTTCCACAGCATAATTTGCGTTAATTGTCCATACGACTTAATACATGGGCCACAATAACATTAAAATAAAATATTCTAACACATGCGCCTAATCAACAATCCAAATTCCACATAATATCAATTAAGGGGCAAATTTGTGCATGTAAATTTCTAAACTTCCGTCAAAATAAGTAAGTCGACAACAAAATAAGCCAATTTTTCTACATTACATGCAAAATAAGTTTATCCGTGTATATTCTTTTTTTAAACAAAATATTTTTTCCAAGTAAGCACACAAGTAAGCTTATTTTTTCTATCTATCTATCTACATCTATCTATCTCTACAATTCTAATAAGAGCGAAAAATGTTAGTCCCTTAACTGGAAAATAAAAAAATATCAGTAGTATTGTTTCTTAAAATGAATGGTTCATATTATTTTGATTTTAGTATTTTTTTTAATGATTTTCCTTATTTACCATATATTATTTTCTTCTCTTAAATAACCTAAATTCCGTTAGTATAAACTTTAGTAACGAAATATTCCGTTAACTATTTATTATTTTTAACTTACCCAATAATTTCTATAAGAAAGGTCTTAGCTAGGTTCGAACCACATCTCAATTAGAGTTGGCATAATTGTTAAACATATACTATGAATATGTTAAAATATATATATATATTTTTGAAAGTAAACTTAATTCATTATATCAGAATGAAGAATGTTTACAAGAAAAGATGGAGGGGAGTCCAGCCACTCCCCGCGACCTGACTCAGAAAAGGCCTCCCTAGAAACACAGTGAGCGGCACGATTCGCAGATCGCTTAACAAAATAGAATTTTACATCCTCAATTTCAGATGCCAAATCCTTTACATCATCCACCAAATAGCCAAAAGCTGAACCAAAAGACACAGAATGAATAGCATTACATACCAGTTGTGAGTCCATCTCCACATCCACACGTCCTAGTCCCGTAGCCTTCAGCCAGCTGAGAGCTTCTCTTACACACAAGGCCTCGACTTCCTTCACCAAATAAGTTCCTGCTACAAGCACATTCTTAGCCGCCAAGAACCCCCCATTCTCATCCCGCAGCACCCAACCCAACCCCATCCGTCCTTCCTCCTGCCGGACCGAAACATCCGTATTTAATTTAAACCTGTCCAACCGCGGCTTCTTCCAGTGGTTAGCGTCCACACGATGTTCCTGATTCGCCCCACACCACCCCTCCAGAAAGTCTAGGGCACGCTGCACCACCGTGGCTGAATTATACACACTGCCCTTCCAGACACTGTCATTCCTGCTTGTCCACAATCCCCAACATACCATTACAAACCGTGGCAAAGAGTCAGCACACAACTTGCTAACACACCAAAAAAACCAATCAGAGATATTATCACCTGCATAAGCATTCAGCTGTGGCACACCCAATAGGCTCCAAACCCGCCTGGCCTCCGCACAGTTTACAAAAAGATAGACCGCAGACTCGGCCACCAGCCTACACATATGACAATCAAGTGAACAAGCTACCCTTTTCACAGCCAACGCATCACGCGTGGGAAGAAACTCAGAAGCTAGCTGCCAACAGAAACATTTTACCTTAGGGGGGACATGTAAACTCCATATACGTGACCATGGCCGATCATCCGAGGCAACCATGGTAAGCCGTTTGTAGCATGACTTAACAGAATACATCCCCTTCGAATCCCAATGCCAAGTCCAGCGATCAACAGGCCTGCGCCAACTAACCGGAATATTCATAATCAATCTTGCATCACGGGAGTTAAAAATATCATTAATACAATCATAATCCCATCCCGTACCTTGGTCATTTAACAAAGACGTCACCCGGGCTCCAAAGACAGACTGGTGCAACTCTGTTTCTACATATGGGTTGTTGTCATCTGGCAACCAGGGATCCAAACCAATTATCGTGCCCGCCCCATTCCCAACGAACCTCCTACACCCCTCCTTCAACACCCATTGTACTGCCATAATACCCTTCCAAATGTAAGAGGGATTACTTCCCTCCGTTGCATCAAAGAAACCACACCTCGGGTAATAACGCGCTTTGTAAACCCGAGCCACCAAAGACTGTGGTCTGGTTACCAAGCGCCAAGCTTGCTTCCCAAGCAACGCTTTATTCATCTCATGCAATTTCCGGTACCCTAAACCTCCACAAACCTTTGGCTTACACAACCCTTCCCAAGAGCGCCACCGGATGCCCTGACCCCCTCCTACACTGCCAGTCCACCAATACTGATTCATCAACGTCTCAATCTCTCGACACAGCCCCACAGGTAACAAGAAAATCATCATTGCAAAGGTGGGCATTGCTTGAATCACATTCTTCAACAGGACTTCCCTACCTGCTCTCGATAGGAACTTTGCACTCCACGATCTGATCTTAGCAAGTATTCGGTCTTTGATGAAACCCAGAATCTCCTTCTTCTTCCTGCCAACTATGGATGGTAGCCTAAATACCTCCCACTCGTAACCCCTTCCTCCACCCCCAGAACCTCCACCACCTCATTCCGCACATTCTGCTGAACATTTGCACTAAAGCACGCAGTGGACTTATCATAATTAACCCATTGGCCCGAAGCCTTAGAGTAAGTATCCAGAACATACCTCATCTGCACACTCTCATCCAAATTCGCCCGATGAAACAAGAAGCAGTCATCAGCAAATAGAAGGTGAGAGATCGTCGGGGCTCCTCTAACAACTGTGACACCATGCAACACACCCCCAGCCATTCTCTTCTCCAACAATGCACTGAGTCCCTCGGTTACAAACAGAAACAAATAGGGTGAAAGCGGGTCCCCCTGACGAAGTCCCCTTCCCGGTAATATAGGCCCCAACTGCCGGTGCTCATGCAGCACACTATAACGCACAGATGTAACCGTCTCCATCATCAAATCAACCCACTGCTTAGCAAATCCCATTTTCAACATTACCGCCTCCAGATACAGCCACTCAACCCTATCATAAGCTTTGGACATATCCAACTTCAGTGCCACAACACCATTTTGTCCCTGCGTTTCCTCTTCAGGTAGTGGTGCACCTCATATGCCAACATTATGTTATCCGAGATTAGCCTCCCCGGAATAAAAGCACTCTGTGCACAGGAAATCAAATTATGCAACATATGTTTCAACCTGTTAGCACATACCTTAGCAGCGATTTTATAAACCACGTTGCACAGAGCTATAGGGCGAAGATCCTTCATAGATACCGGACTCAGCTTCTTAGGCACCAACACAATAAAGGTTTCAGTTGCCCTCTGGGGCAATTTTGCAGTCTCAAGAAACTGCTTACAAAATAACCACACTTCTCCCCCGACAATGTCCCAGTAGTGCTGAAAAAACCCCGGGCCAAACCCATCAGGTCCAGGCGATTTATCAGGATGCATTTGAAAAGCCGCTTCACGGACCTCGTCCATACTCAGCGGCCTTAACAACCCCGCATTATCCACATCAGAAACCCTCTTTGTAATAACATCAATCACCTCCTGTACATCCCCGTAGTCCGGCGAGAACAACTCCTCAAAATACGCCACCATCAACTCCCCCAACTGATCCTCCCCTTCAACCCAATTACCCTCCCCATCCTGCAACCTCACCACCTTATTCCTCCGCCGGCGGGCTTTTACCGAATTATGAAAGAACCTACTATTCACATCGCCCCCCTTATACCAATGCTCTTTAGCCCGCTGCTTCCAGTACATACTCTGCTGTTCTAACAAAAACAAGTGCTCCTTCTGCGCAGCTGCATAACCCCTCATCCCATACCCATCTCGCCGCATACACAACCTTTCCATCTGACCCTTACAACGGTCTATCCTCTGCTGGAACTCCTTATTATACTGACGTCCCCAACAGGCTATATCCGTGGCACACATACCGATTCTAGAGATAGTATCCAAACCCGCAGACCGAGTCCAGCTCTGCACCACAATCTCTCGGCACACATCCTCCCGTAGCCACATATTATCAAAACAAAACCGTGGCCGTCTCCGAATCCCGGGTAACACAACTGGAGTGACTAACAACGGCGAGTGATCACTGTAAGGGACAACTAAAGATTGCGCCCGTACACCCTCAAATAGAATAAGCCAATCATCAGATGCAAGGACACGATCCAACTTTTCCTCAATCATATGATCAGTTCCCCTGGACTTCACCCACGTGAACTGATTTCCACTAAAAGGCACATCATGCAGACCACAATCATCCACCGCCGCTCTAAACCCATTAATCTGCCACTCCGGGTGAGGCACACGCCCCCGTTTCTCTGACTGGTCCATAAGATCATTAAAGTCACCCACAACCAACTAAGGCAACTGACTCCGCCCCGATAGCGTGCGTAACATCTGCCAGGCCTCCCTACGTCGGGTACGTTCTGGATATCCATAATACCCCGTTAAACGCCACTTCGAACTCCCAACATCCAACTCAACCTCAGCATCCACATGATTAGTAGAATAACCCGTTACCCTCAACTCCACCGTATTCATCCACAATACCGCAAGTC